GTTTTGGCCAGCAGTGGGTCAGCCCTGGCTGCTGGGGGTTTCCAGGCCATACACTTTACACACACAACGCTGACGCCTTGTTGTTGCTTGCACATTTATGTTTACGGCCAATTGGAGGTTCAGTTATCAGGTTGATGGTTGGGCTGGCTCTATGGCTGATGCTTGGGTGCCATACGCCTTGATTTGTACTAGATATCCCAGACTTTGAAGCACACATGCACGTCGTTTTGCGCCGCTGCTGATGACCTGGATGGTCACAATCCTGATTTGTCCTGGCTGCCCTGCGGCGCTGCATGCATCCAGGCACTGAATGAGCCAACACCTTGGCTGCGGGCCGGCTGGATTCAAGGTCGGGGGAATCACCGCAGCGTACGTGCTTGTTGCCGTGCAAAACGCTGCCCCGCCCCCTTGATGGTGGTGCGTGCAGCTGCAGCTGATGAGGATGGGATGAGTGCTTGAGCATGCATGCCTCCGACAGACTGTTTTACGCTCAGAAGCAAGCTGCCACACACAGTCTTTGTTGGCATGTCAACCATGCAATTCTCATAAAAAAACCACAGATGGCCTTACAGCCAACGCGTGCAGTACAGCAGGTTGAGGCAAGTGTGTCTTCCATGCTGCCACGGCATGACCATGTACAGGGTAACAAACCCAACGAGGTCCAATGCAGTGACTGTCGCACAGCCCATACCGTTGCTGAACAAAAGCGCATGAACCCAGTGTGCAAGAGCGCGCAAAGCAATTGTTGAGATGATATGCGTCCTTCGTCGGCGGGGGCCGGGAAGAAAGGCGGGGAGGGGGAGGGCGGACGCCTTCACAAACATAGCGCTGTGCCAAAACCCTCCGTTGTCACAGCTCGTCTCTGCTGACTGTAGCCTCCGCGGTGTTGCTCTGCACGCCCCGATTCAAGGCCCTCGGTCCGCCGCTGCTGGCTGCAGCCAATGCTTGCAGCGGCCCCGCAGCGCCCGTGACCCCCTCCTGATCAATCAGGCCCATCGCGCCGAGCGAGTCGTGGCGCAGCAGCGCGGCTGCGATGCCGGCCTCGTCCAGTTGCGCGGCACGTGCCCACAGCTGCTTGAAGCGCCGGATATTGAGCTCCGCCTCACGCACCTGGACTTGGGAATATGGTTTGTGTGGTACAGTACAGATGTTGAGGGGTGTGAGTGTATGTGTGCGTGCGTGTATGTGTGTGTGTGTATGCGTATGTGTGTGTGTGTATGTGTATGTGTATGTGTGTGTGTGTGTGTGTGTGCGCGCGCGCGCATGCGCGCTGCGCGCATGCATGTGAGAACATATACATGTGGGTTCAGTTGATGGAGAAGGCTTCACTCGTTTATGGCGGGAGTATGTCAGTATCTCAATCGTGTGCGTGGGTCCACGGCCTGGGGTTGAGTGGCTGAGGGCTCAGACCCAAACCCAACAGGCTTGTGTGTTGGGCGTCAGCCTACACAGCAGTGTCCCCCGCTCTTGCCTGCCTTGCCACACTGCAGCGGGCTGCGCACACGCCGCCGCTGTGCAGCCGGAAGCGACGACGCATCCGCAGCGTTGCTCGGACAGGGCATATGTAGCGACCCGCTTTGTGAGCACTAGAGATGATAACAAGAGCAGTGATGATCGTATGTGTGAGCAGCAATGACCATCTACGTGGAGCGCGCACCGGGTCCTCGTTGACGGGGAAGGTGTCAAAGTAGACCGCCCCGCCGTACCCCACCCGCCGCAGCCAGTACACGAGCTCCAGGGCCGCCGCAGGGTGCACCGACCCAAATATCAGCCTGAGAGGTGGAGTGGTGGCGAAGGTGTTTGGGCTTGTGGGGTGTGCGGCAGCCAGGTTGAGCGTGACACTACTGCAGATTATCAGCCTGGGGGAAGGGGGTTTGCATAGGGCGCACTGAGCCTGCTGGCGCGGCAGCCAGGGGTGTGTGCCGGCGGCAGAAGCGTCGATAGCAGTGGGGTGGGCCGAGCGTGCAAGCAGGGGGAGATGGGAGGGGCCGCGAGGATGGGGTTGACAAGTAATGCCTGGCGGGCGTCGCTCAGCCGCGCGGTAGGGGCCAGGCGGTGCTCTGCAGCAGGCCTGTGACCAAGCAAGCGCCACTCCGCTGTGGCTCGCCGCCCGGGGCGGCCGCGCCGGCGGGGGCCCCAGGCGTCGTCCACGCTCTTACACGTTCCCCCAGGCCACCATCATCCCGTTGCGCGTGTGCCCACCCGTCCTCTGCGCCGACGCGCGAGTGGCCGTCGTTCAGGTGCATCCCAAACAGCTTCCCGGCAGCTGCCACCATAGCGGCGCTGTGGGCGGGGTTCTCTCCCGCCATGAGCATGTGGCCGGTGTCAAGGGTCAGGCCAAAGCTTGGTCGGTTTACCTGGCGGGGCGGCGAGGGGTGGGGAGGGAGCGAGTCGCCACGTCAGGCATTATGTGATGCCGTCGAGAGGGTGCTGGTCAGATCACAAGATCAATGCGGCGCGTTTTAGAGGGGTGAGGGGTGCGGAGGGGGCGCAGGTGCAGCAAAGCGCGTGAGCCTTTGGGAAAGCGGGGCGGCCCCTGCCAGCAAAGAGGTGTTTGCAGCAAGCTGCTGGCACTGTACGAGTCCCCTGTACAAACGCATGTCGCCCAAACAGCGCCCCCAGATGGCCCAGCAGGCGAAGCGACCGGCGGCGGCGCACCTCACCTCCCGCGCGAGCAGCAGCGCCGCCGCTGTGGACGGCACGAACGAGAAGCGGCTGCTGGGGTCTGTCGGCTTCCACTCCAGCGACACGTTGACGCGCGGCCCGCAGCCGTCCGCTAGCGCAGAGAGCCCCTCGGCCAGGCGGCGCCATGCCAGGTCGTAATCCGCCTGCGGACGCGGTCAGACGCGGTCAAACGCAGCCAAACGCGGCCGGTGGGTGTGGCAGGAATCGTGAGCACTGAGCTGCGGGCATGCATGAGGTCGCGCCACGTGGCGCCTGCGTCGGCCAGGGCTGCCAGCCGCCGGCACTGCTGCGCTGCGCTGCGCTGCGGGCCGGCCGGCGGGCGGGCTATGAGGGGCGTGCCGCTGGCGCCGCCTGGCGCTGCTCGCTGGCGCTCTCCCCGCCCCTGCCGTTATGTGCAACAAACGGCCGGGAAGCGCGGCTGACGACCAGTGGGGCAAGTTGGGCGCCCGCTTTGCGGCAGGCGAACAGGCAGCCATTTGGTCAGAATCCGCGCCGCAGCTTCCAATCGGTGTCACTGGGCCCCCGGCCCGACGGCGCCGGGGATCAATCAGATCTCAGATCACCGCCGCACCTGCATGTGGTAATCGTAGCCGTCGAACGCCGACCACACGACAACCTCGGACGCCCCCAGGTCGCGCGCCCAGCCGCACGCGCCCAGCGCGAGCGCGAGCGCCTCCGCCCTCAGAGCCGCGTCCGGGTTTGTCAGCGCGCCGGCGCGGAAGCGGCCGGGGAAGCGGAGCGCGACGCCACCGGCGGCGAGGCCAGCGGTGGACAGGGCCCGCTTGACCTGCGGCGCGTGCGCGAGGGGTTGGGGGCAGGCGTGTGATTTGGGTTTCTGCCTGAGGCCAGCTCCGGCTGAAAGCACGTGCCCAAATCCAGGTGCGACCGCTCTGCCCCAGTCCTGCAGCCTACCTGAAGAGCCAAGAACCGCGTCCGCCTACAAATCGCCCGCTGCAGAAGCAGGGCGGAAGCGACCCACACGCGCACGCCACGCCGCAACGCAGCAGCGGAGCACAAGCCCGCGGGGCAGAGGGCGCTGTGCGGGGCGGCATGCTGCAGTGCGGACCAGGCGCGGCGCAGTGCGGGGCGGCGCACCTCGTCCGGGTCCATCCCCTCCAGGTGCTGCGGGTAATTGAAGTAGACCAGGCCCAGCCCCTCCACCAGCCCCTGCCGCGCCACCCAACCCAGGACGCCGTCGCCGCCGCCGCCGCGACTGCCTAGGCCGGCGCCGCCGCCGTGCGCCGCTGCCGAATCCGCCAAGTCCCGCCGCGCCGCCATCGAGTTGAGGCGGGACGCGAACTTGAGCGGGCACGCCTCCGGGCCGGGCCCCGTGGCGGGCGCC